TGATGACTAGCTGCCTTCCCTCTAGTCTTACACTGCTAAATTAGGGATGGCTAGCGCAGATAAACAAACAAACTCTTCTTTGTATTAATTTTTTAATTACATATTTAATTATATTTGGTTAATTACATGCACAGAGGAATAATTAAATTGTGTAAATTAGTATTAATGAATCTTTATTAATTAGATATTAAGTTCATATGAATTTTACAGTAGTTATTGTTGGTGATATAATGAATCTTTGAAAGTAACTACAAATTCTTATTATTAATATTATTATTTTTTATAGCTTTACAAGGTAACTCGGACATTCCTGACTGGTGAGTTTGTCATTTTTGTATAGAGGTACATATATTTGTCAAATTTAATATTTTTGTTGTTTTATAACAAAAATTGAATAGGTAAATAAATTCTATAATTAAGTAAGTATAAACAGCTCATGTTATGGGTTTTGACTAATATTATATCCCATCATTAATCATTTTAATGTCATATTTTGACACAGCTTGAAGTCTATTGTAGGTTTTAATATTTTTTTTGCATTTTGTAGGTGTTTCACAGAGGCAGGTCTTGGAAAACAATTTAGCTTTCAAGAGCCAGCTACTTCAGAAGTACTAACCACCATGTGGAACTGTTCACCAATCAGATATGTAAATAATGTAGGTTGTTTTTCTTACTTGAAAACATCACAGTCTATTTTGAATATGTTATTTAGAACATTTTAAAACCAGAGAAAATGGTTAGCAGTATGTAGTGATATAATATGCTACTTTAATAATTACTGATTTATACTTGTGTTACATGGATAAACAAATATCTTTTAAAAACTCTTAAATTAACATTTTTTCTTACTAGTAGTCTTTTGGGTTCCTGCAAATAACTACTAACTAGTAGTGTCTAACTACTATACGTGCAATTATAAGTTGTAAATCACTAGGGGAACATGCAGCTCATGTTACACTAATGAATTACATTACCCACAAGCTACTACGACCTGCTTGCGTGTGTGCCTCGTGAAACATTTTTATTATAATATTATTATTTATTTTACTCTCAACTAACCTAAAAGGATCCCTATTTTTACATTTTAGTTACTGTCAATTATCGAAGAGAGGTAACCCTAATTATTATATACTAACGATAGTAATGCATTTTATAATT